AAAAAAAAAAAAAGTAACAAGCTTGAGTAGCCTGGAGCGCAATGGCAAGCAAAATTTTTGGACAGGCCACCCCAGGCCCCCCGAGCCCGGGGACTGTCAGCCGACTACTTTTTAGGGAATGCGAGGTCGGCCCCCAGGGCCAGACCCGAAGCCCAGAAGGTGGCGGGCCCCCCCCCCCCCACTGACCCTGGCGCTGTCTAGCCCAGCCTTTGCCTGTGACCACTTTCCTACCTACTAACTCCAACCTCACGACTACCCCAGCGCATCCACCTTCCATATACAAACACACACACACACACACACACACTCACACACACCATCCTTCATCGTTGCATCAACCGCGATTGCGCGGCGTCACTGTCTCTTGAGACCCAGACTGCGTTCCTTTCTTGCGTCGCATCCATCATCACACCTACCGCCTAGGCTCAACACGACACGTGCCATCTGACCACGTCATCGACATCCCATCTGTGCGAACCTCAGAACACCCACCATGTCGGCCAGCAAGGCAGCGCAGAAGCGGGCACGTCGGGATTCCGGACTGTTTCTCGTGGGCTCCTGGGCTAACGTCATCTCAGTTGACTCGCGAATACAAGACCATCGCCGAGAACCCACCCCCATACATCGAGGCGCATCCCTCCGAATCCAACATTCTCGAGTTCGTACCTTCCCCTTGCGTCTATGAATCTATGAACGCCCCGGCTAACGTCTCTCCCCCCACTTCAAAGATGGCACTACATCATCACAGGCCCCGAAGACACACCCTACCACGGCGGCCAGTACTGGGGTACCCTCATGTTCCCGCCGACATACCCCTTCGCCCCGCCGGCCATCCGCATGCACACGCCCTCCGGCCGCTTCCAGCCATCGACCCGCCTCTGCCTCTCCATCTCTGACTTCCACCCCAAGTCCTTCAACCCGGCCTGGGAAGTCTCGACCATCCTCATCGGCCTGCTGTCGTTCATGACCTCGGAGGAGATGACGACGGGCTCCGTCTCGAGCACAGCCGCCGAGCGCCGCGCGCTGACGGCCCGGTCACGGTGGTGGAACTCGACGGGCGGCGGGTCGCACGCCCGCGCCAACCCGGCCGGCAAGGGCAACGTCAAGGCAGGCGACGCCGGGGCCAAGTTCCGCGCCGAGTGGCCCGAGGTCGACGCCAAGAACTGGGACACGATGAGGGAGCAAAAGGTCGACATGGCCACGGGCCACGTGCCGACGGCGGCGGGCGGCGCGAGCTGTCGGCCGCCGCAGCTGGGCATCGGCGCTCACGGGGGCGGCGGCGGCGGCGGCGGCGCCAACAGCGCGCATCAGGGGCGCGCCGTCGTCGATGCCGTCGTGCAGCAGCGGGATGCCGGCACGGGGTGGCTGCATCGGAACAAGCTGCTCGTGGCGGGGGCCGTCGTGTTCCTGTATGTGCTGCTCGCGAGGGTGCTCGGCAACGGCGAGTAGAGGGGTACTATGTGTGCAGAGAGGCTGGTAAAGAGACAGACGGCAACGGATATACAGGGAGCATGCGTGGCGTTGTTGGCTTTGGCAAGCTGAGGATTGGTGATGGCCGTTGAAGGGACTCCCAATGCTTTGGTGTAACATGATGGTACTTGCGGCTTTCCTCTTGCCTTCTGGAATTGTGTTCAATCTACGCGTTTGGCGTTAGTATGGATGTACGGAACGTAGTATCGTGGCATTCTAACTCGGACGGCATACCATCTGCTGGAGAACAGGTTTGTAGTCCATTCCGGCCGTTGCTACTGCTTACGTATCGCCTCCATGCAAGAGGGCACTTGTCAGACAAGATGCGTCCTCTTGGTCGTTCATTTTGCCAGTCATCAGACGTCATCAGACTGGAACGCAGAAAAGTTGAGCCTCTGCCAGTTGGTCTCAGATTTCAGACAAAGCCAACGGCGAAGCCGATGATGCCTGTCATTCACCGACGCACCCACCCGGTCAGCGCTCACCGAATCGAAATAGAGGCACAGATGGACGGCTCATTATCGACCGTGCAGGGATGGGGCGGGCCAATCTCACCTCACCCTACCATCCATCCTCTGCCTGGCCTGGCGCTGGTCGCCTGCGGTGCTGCTCAATCGTTTTGCGGGGGGGATAAAATTTGTGACGCAGCCCCGATTTTTTTTTTCCCTGGCCCAGCTCCGGCCGCCGCCAACTGCCCTGGGAAGGGAAAAAAAAAATCCCAGCACCTACCCAGGTAAGGTAGGCACCTATATCGAGCACCGCACTGGAGCAGGAGCGCCTTGGGTAGAAATCAAGCAGGTACCTTGGTACCTTACCTAGAAGAAGCTCTGCTGCCTGCCAGGGCTTTTGGAGCCAGGAAAAAGGCAGATAGACGCTGGCAGCATCAGTAGCTTCATCCGCATCACCTCTGAATATCGTCCATCTGCGTATTCCATTCCCAGCATCAACGTAGGCCGCCACTGAGCTTGCTGTCGAAGCCGTTCTGCCTGCTATCGAAGTCGTCCTGGCGTCGGACCTACATCACCTGCAGCTCGCGCCCGTCGCCTGGCCCCAGCATCATCTCCACCCTCGCCTCTCTGCGCGCGCGCGCACCCTGCATCATCCATCGTCTTCTGTCGCCCTCTTTCCACTCCTCTCCACTCCACCACCCACCCCCCCCCCCCCCTTCCTTTTCCCTGTTCTGCCTCTCCTTCCACACCCAAGCATCGTCACTGGCACTCGAGCCGTCACGCATTGGAGCTTTGCAGATGCTCTAACATGCTTGTCGACTTCTCCTCCGGGCCAGGCAACTAAGAGTCACGCCTCTCGTCGAGCTCCGGAGTCTCTATCGTCGTCTGCATCGACCCTCGGACCTTGCACCTTCCCGCTCTCGCCGTGTCCGCGTTTTGTCGCTGCCACGTCCGAACACCTCGCAAGCCGTCCTCCCACGCCTTCCCAGCCTCTCTCTCTCTCTCCCTCTCTCTCCGCCAGTCCACCACGCCTCAACATGACCTCCGCTAGCGGCGCCGGCAAGCCTGGCAAGAAGGCCTCTGCCGCCCGCCCCCTCTCCGGCCTGTCGCTGAAGCCCGCCATCCCCTATGTCTACCTCAACCGCCGCAACAACAGCACCGCCAAGCAGACCTCGGCCGCCCAGCCCAACACCACGTCCAACGGCTCTTCCCTCAAGATTCAACACAACGCTGAAGCCGCGACCCCTGAGACTGTCGTCACCGTGCTCGACACCAAGGAGGACGCTGCTGCCGAGGCATCGTCCACGGCTGCGAGCAACATCGACGAGGAACAGTCTGGTGAGAACCTACCACCTACCTAACGCTGTCTTGACTGCCGACCCCTCTGCAAGCATGCGTGCTGACTTGCTCATTAGCTACCTCGACTACCCAGCCCGAGCTGACGCCCTCCGCCTCGACCTCGACCGACCTTGCTACCGAATCCACGCCTGCCGTCGAGCAGCCCGAAGCCGAACCCATGCCCGTCGAATCTCAGTCCGCCGAGGAGCTTGACCAGAGTTCGTATAACCAACCGCACCCGAATGCCCGCCGCTTCTCACACGAGTCTCGTCACACAGCTACTACTCCTGCTGAGCCTCTTGGCGAACCTGTCAATGGTACGTCGAGCCCTTGTCAGTCATCATGACGAGATGCCGCCGCTCTAGTCCCTGGATTCTGACATGCTCCCTCTAGACACGGCCCCTACGCCTGCTGCTGTTGTCCCTGCTCCTGCTGCTGTCCCACACCAGGCCGTCATTTCTCCGACTCCTTACAGCATGCCTCCTGCTTTCCAGCCAACCCCTCGTGCTCTGGGCCTGGGCACCAACGGCGACATGCGGCCCTTACCCCGCCACGGGCTCAACGGTCCGGCTCACATGCACCACCCGCACCCCAGCAACGGCAGCCTTCAGTTTGGCCACTTTGACTCGAACAACTCGTCGCCGGCTCCTCCTCCCCATTCGGCCGGGTTCGCGCCGCCGCCCGGGCTCGGCGGCCTGCCCAACGGTCAGCGACCCTTCCCTGGTCATGGCCATACGGCTTCGGGCCATGGATACCCTCCGCAGATGCCCTACGGCACCGAGTTTGTGCCCGTCACCTCGGGCGACGCCTTCGGCCGTTCCTCTGTCGCGCCTGCTGGCATGGAGCACTACCCCCACCAGGTCAACAACTACGGCCCTTCGACGCCCCACAGCTTCCAGGACTCCCACTCCTCCCACCACGCGGGACGAAGCTGCCGCCTTTAGCCAGCATCACGGCCATGGCGGCCCGAACGGCGTCGTGGCAAACCACGATGATCGTCGTCACCACCACCATCACCAGCAGCACCAGCAGCATCAGCACCAGCATTCGGCCTATGGTCCTGCCCACCAGAGGATGATGTCCAACCACATGCCCCCGCCGCACATGATGCAGCAGCAGCAGATGCAGGAGGCACAGAACAGCGTGGAGGGTTTGTTTGGTTACCTGCAATCCCAGTTCACTGACCTGACATTTGTCGACTGCACGCTCGAGCTTCGTTACCTCGATGACCGCGCGCCCCCTGTTCGCATCCCTGGCCACCGACTCGTCTTTGCTCGCAGCCAGCCTCTGCGTAACCTGCTGCAGACCACCAGCCACAGTGACAGCCACTCTCGCGGAATGGACGCGGAGACCATCCTCCTCAAGACGGACGACAAGTACATCAATTCGAGCACCTTCTGGATGGCCATCCAGCGGCTCTATTCCTTCCCTCTCCTCAGTGGCCCTCCCGAGGGAGCTTCCATGGGCGACGGCAACCTGACGCTCGCCGGAAACGCGGATACCCGCTTCGACTTTGCCCTGGGCTATGCCGCCGCCGGAAAGCTGCTGAACTGGGACCCCATCATCCAGCGCGGTATGCAGGTGGCAGCCGACCACCTGAGCTGGTCGACCCTCGAAAAGGCGCTGGAGTTCATCCTCGGTGACCTGCCAGGCCGTGCGTCTGCTGACCGCCATGCTCCTTTTGCCTACGGCGAGCAGGTCCAGATTCTCATGACGGGCGTTATTTCCTTCATCATCAACAACTTCCCCGCTTACTTCCGCCTCGACACCTCGGTCGCGGACCCCGAGTCCTTCGCCCGCATCCCTAACGTGCCGGCACCGGCCAAGTCGACGGGCACACCGCCTATCGCTCACGGCACCTCCGTCCACCTGGGAGCGGGCCGACGTGCTCGGCCCATGCACATCAAGTTTGGCGACATGGGCGGCTCGTCAGCGTCCCAGGACCAGGACGGTGCCAACGGCGAGGTGCCAAACCTGACACCTCAGCAGCGCGCCGTCAACTCGACTCTTTCGCGCGTTCTCCTCAACCTTCCGTTCGCCTACCTCAAGCCCGCCCTAGAGTCCAGCGTCTACGGCAATGTCTCGAGCTGGGCCAACTCGGAGGCTCGCCACCAGATCATGGTGTCCGTCGTGTCGGAGCGTGAGCTGCGGCGTCTGCGGGCACTCGAAGGTGTCAAGGAGGGACGCGTTCCGCACGCGGGACAGATCCGCCACTCGCTGCAGAGCGTGGAGCCACGCAACGGCGGCGACGTGTGGCACATTCTCGGATGGCAGGAGGAGATGGTTCCCTACCACGGCGAGGGCGCCTCGCTGGGCCGCAAGTGGACTCCGCTGATGTACGCGCGCGAAAACGGCGGCTCGGACCACCAGCACGCCGTGGCTGCGTACCCTTAGGCGAGGGTTCGCATTCGATCATGAGTAACGACGGTGGACTGCAAGCAGCAGTAGCAGGGCAGCAGCCACGCACGGCTGGTTGTTCTGCTTCTGTCTCACGGCAGCCACGACGACCGATATGACGAGTTGCATTTGCATCATGCGCACAAAAGTTTGATTCCCCCCCCTTGCTTTTGGTTTTGCCGTTGTTTACGCGCCGTCGCGCGATGGGGCAATCCTGCGATGCCCCTGGGCCGGCTATTGTCTGGTTGGGACGGGCGGACTGAAAGGGAAATGGTGAAGCAGGCCTCGTCGGTTCGACCTCGCGGTCGCAAGCCCGTGTGGGGATGGTCTTGACGGGGCCGGCGTCAGTGTTTTCAAGACTGCGGTCCACGGGTCATGCACAGGATGGTGGGGAAGAGCGCCGCCGAGGAGGGACAGCGCGGGCCCATCAGCAGAGTTGTGCGGATGTCATGAGGGAGCGGGACGAAGCGTGGTGATACCCTTGGGGTTGAGCGAGATGGATGAGCATGTGAGCCAGGATGGTTCACGTTCGCGCGAGAAAGGCTCGTTTGGACACGATAGGCCGACGAGTGCCGGGACTGTCCCTGTGTAGGATGGATCCAGGGACACACTCGATTCTCTCCAAGATGAAAGCTTCTTTGTGCAGCCTGGATTTTTGGGAGGCCGAAGTGAAGCACAGCGTTGGGACGACGGCAGGGTTCGAGGCCAGGGCTTGTGATCGTTACACCGTTGGTAGTCCGTAATGCATTGTCGCGTTAGACAGCTTGAGCATGTGTGACTGCTTGGCGGCCGTGATTCCAGTGCAATTCCAATGCTCGTCCACTAGTGACAGACGGCCATCTTGACAAGGGGGAGACAACAAATACGATGGGTAGAGGCAGGCTGGGGTTCTGAATGTTTACTCGAGTCTGCGCTTGTGCATGAGCATGTCATCAAACGGCGTGGGGAAAGGCAGAACAGGGGCAAGGGGGGTAGGCGCTGATAGGCCGAGACACGTGAATTTGCGCTAGGAGAGCTGGAAGGGGCAGTCGAAAGGCCGAGGCATGTGCCCTGCTTGCCTCCAAGGTACTTGCCTCTGCTGCGACCCCTTCTTTCCTTCCCCAGTGTAATGTACCTATGCTCCTGCTCCCGCTGCAGCAGCTCCCCCCTCGCCCATTCCCCAGGTTTTCGAACCATCCAAGATTCTTTCGCCATCCCACCCCTCATCCCTCTCCTCCATCCCTCCTCATCTTTCCCTTTCCTCTTTCGTAGCACAGATGAACGACGCGACGGACCGTGCAAACCCGCTCGACGAGACGACTGATTGACTTTGCTCTGACGGCCTATACACTATTGCGCGACCTTGGTACGTCCCTCTGAGGTCATTGGCCGGATGCATTCCAGCTCGGCTTCCCACCTTGAGGGGGGAGGGCTTTCGGCTAACGTCAGCGATGCTAGATAACGCGCCCATGAGACTTCCTGCGACTGTCTGAACACTCGATTTCTTCGGCTGCATTGCGATTCACTCTTGTTCTAGACGTCGCCCCTTTTTCTCTGCACCACTGGCAGTCGAGCGGCTGTCCCCCCGCAGTAGAGCGGCACCTCTCGACAGGAACCGATGACCTCGGCCGCACCGGGGCCGTCGCGCCCGCCCAACGCGCCGCGCACTCTGACGCCCAAGTCCGTCTCCGATCCCGTCCTGCGCAACGCCCTGCGCTACACCATCTCAGCGCGCGAGTACGCCACGCTGCACAAGTATGTCATCTCGCGGTCGCGCGTGCTGAGGCGGACGGCGCCGAGCGTGGCGACGGTCGAGAAGATGGTCGACGGCGACAAGGCTGGCCGACGGTCGTCGCATGCTGTGCCGCCGAGCGACGGCTACAACACGCGGGCGATCCGCGACGCGCTGCGCTTGTTTGTCGGCACGGCGGCGGGCATGAAGACGTATGATGTCTTGATGAAGAGAGTGCTCGGCCAGAGAGAGTACGTTTTCCTGGGCTGTCCCTGCATGGCCTCCTTGCAAGGCAGGCCACCATGGTGTGAAGCAACTTGCACTGACCCAAACCACAGCACAAACGCGAAGAAGCAACCGCTGTACAACTCGCCCACCTTCCGTCTATCGCTTTCTCTGTCCTCCATCCTGCTGCTCTATCGCCTGCTCTTCCGCTTCATGTCAAGGTTGCGCGGCCACCTGCTCGACGATGCGGCAATCCCCTTCCGACGACGCAATCCCCGTACCGCCGCCACGCTGACGTCGCCCTATGCGCCCGCCGTCGGTGCCTCGCTCGCCGGCCTGGCCCTCGGCGTGTACCCGGCGCAGCAACTGCGCGTGTCGGTCGCCATTTACGCCATGTTCCGCGCCCTCGAGTTCGGCTGGAATCTGTGCGAGGGCGAGGGCATGATCTGGGGCTTCAAAGCCGGCGGCCGCGTCAAGAGGGAACGGCCCTGGTGGTGGGGCAGCTGGATGATCCAGCCCTTTGCCTTTGGACAGCTGCTGCACGCCGTCGTCTTTGACCGTGACTGCTTCCCCGCGGCCTACGGAAACCTCATCTTCAACAACTCGACAGCCTATCTGCAACATAGGCCCGCCGGATACCCGAGCCACCTGGTGTGGCCCAAGACGTGGGACATTGTCGACAGCCTTGCGCAGATGGCAAAACTCAACTGGCCGTACGTACATGGCGCGCGCTGCTTGGGTCGAAGAAGACAGCTAACAATTGACAGACCCTACATCTCGCCCACTCTGTTCCCCAACAAGGAAACGCTGCCGGCGTCGCTCGCCGCCGTCGCGCCCCTGACCTCGACAGCACACCCCATCATCACCTCTCTCTCCTGCGCGACCCTTCACCCGTCTGACCCGTCTTGTCTGCGCACGTACCTGCAGTTCTGGCTCAGCTCGTTCCCGCCCTTTATGCGCATGCTCCTCGGCTTCTACGGCGCGTTTGCCATTCTGCCCAACGCCGGCGCCAAGCTCTACCACGCGCCGGTCGCCGTCCTGACCAAGGTGCTCGGCCGCGCGCTGCGGAGCTCGACGTTCCTCGCCGGCTCCATCTCGACGGCGTGGGCCTCGATCTGCGTGTTCCAGACGTGGCTGCCGCGCCACGTGCTGCCGACGCTGCGGTTCTTCCTCGGCGGCTTCATCGCCGGTCTCTGGGCCTGGGTCGAGCGGAAACAGGGCCGGGGCATGTTCCTGTACTCGGCGCGGGCGAGCGTGGACTCGCTGTGGAAGGTCGGCGTCAAGAGGCGGTGGTGGAAGGGCATGCGCGGCGGTGACGTGTGGGTCTTTGTCGCGGCGCTCATGGTGACGGGCGTCGTGTACGAGAGGGACGCGCGGGCGATTCGCGAGGGGAGCTGGCGCCGCGGCGTCAGCTGGATCCGGGGCGAGGGCTTGCGGGATTGGAGTCTCGAGGAGGAGGAGGTGCAGGGGGAGAGCGAGGGCGAGGGGCGGGAGTAGAGGCTAGTAATGCAGTGTGTACGAATTCGTTCTACGCAGGCTGTCTAATTCTATGCCATATCGTCATTGTGTTTGCCCATGTCGTTCTCGTCGCCCTCGCGTTGTGCGGACCGAGTCGTCATGCCGTTTCC